CGTTGTTCTCTTTATTGTTCTTCGTCCCATTTGCGTGTGTTTTGTTCGAAATAGTCATGATCAAACCAGAATTTTTTTTCGTAGAAAACAAAGAATCGTTGCTGATTCTATTGTTTTTGTTTTTGCAGGCGTGGCCTGCGGTAAGACGGATTTGAGGGTCCCTTATAAAGATATCAAGTACAATAAGATATCTTTGGAAGTGTTAAATATGGATTCAATTCCTCTTAAACACCCATCTAGTTATGAGGCGGGAACATTAAAAAGAATAATATCGTTGAAAGACGATATTATTTTTAGGCTGAATAACCCAGCCTCCATCCCATCACCTACCAGCGCCACCACCAGCACTACTCTTGGCATAAGTACGTCATTGTCAGTGCCTTTAGTAGCAACAACAACCTCCGAGTCTGTTACTACACACAACCAAAGTTCATCAGCAACGTCGTCGGCCCCTGGAGTAGCAACAACAACCTCCTCTGTTACTACACACAACCAAAGTTCATCAGCAACGTCGTCGACCCCTGGAGTAGCAACAACAACCTCCTCTGTTACTACACACAACCAAAGTTCATCAGCAACGTCGTCGGCCCCTGGAGTAGCAACAACAACCTCCTCTGTTACTACACACAACCAAAGTTCATCAGCAACGTCGTTGGACCCTGGAGTAGCAACATCAACCTCCTCTGTTACAACATCGAACACAATTACATCTACAGCAACAAGGCCCACCTCCCCTGTTACAGCATCTTATTCAACTAGATCAACAACTTCAGTCCGTAGAATAACAAGATCAACCACCTATAATATAGCCTCTATAATCCATCTACACCCTCCAATTCAGCATCTACTACCGTAAAAGCCATTGCATCCTCATCCACCGCTGCTTTAAACAGGAGAAAAAGAAAAAGAGGACAACAGAGTGAAGAGGAAGGTGAAGAGGAAGGTGAGAAGTGTGAGGCTTTTATTTACCAGACGGTACCTTCCGAAAAGCAAGTAAAAACCAGGAGCTGGATATTTTGCGAGACATGCAAGAAATGGCTTCATTTCGATTGTGTCGGAATAAGGAAAGCTCCTCCTGGAGATCACAATTGTGGATGTAAAAAAAGGCAGATCAACCTATCGTAAGTATTCTATAATTTGCGCTCATTCAAATTCGACATTCTGCGTCCCCTTGCAGCCTTATTTAGTCTTTAGCATGTGTTATCAGAGATGTCGTGAATGATTGTCAATACCTACAGCTGATAACCCTCGAGTTAGTTTGTTCCTCTCTAGCTTGGTATTAAGGCGGTCTTAATCATATTAAAAGTAAGAAATTAGCAGCTTTGTTTTTTCTGTGACCTTGTTTTCATTAACAGCACTTTAATGCTTTAATAACTAAAATTATTTCATTTGTTTACAAACAGGGATTACCCCTCCAGTATGTCTTTAATGCAGAGTCCTGATTTAAAAGGTTTAAAGGTAACATCTGCTATTCACCAGTGGTTCGCTGCTTCCGCATCTTCTTGATTCCTACTTTTATTATTTTATTTTTTTAAGATGTAATCTATCATTTACGTTTACTTTGTAAACAACATCAAAGTCATTATTTTCTTTTTATTGACTGTTCACAGAACTACATCAAGGTTAAGAATGGAAACGTGTAGCCTTCGAGATCCTTTGTTTAGCAACGCCAACCGGAGAGCAGAACTACTATTATTTCATTTTTTTAAGACGTAATCTATCATTTACGTTTACTTTGTAAACGACATCAATGTCATCATTTTCTTTTTATTGACTGTTCACATAACTACATCAAGGACATTAAGAATGGAAACAAAAGTAGCCTCCGAGATACCCTGCCGCAGAGCAGAACTACTACATTTAAGTAGTGACTTTTCGCCTTTTTTTTTCTACACCAATGGTAAGTAAATAACAATAATAATATACGAGTCCTTCTCAACAAATGAATTCAGCGTTGTCTCTAACCCTCTTCCTGGCAAATCTCACATTTGCTGCTTTCTTTTAAATAATTTTTACCCTAATAAAATTTCGTTCGTAAACGTATGATTAATTCATATTGTTGGTTTAGCTTCCTTTTTAAACTTTAGATGCGAAGGTTCACAAACGAGGTAAAGGGGATTGTGTCTGAGAATAGAGTTTAAAGTGATGACGTCATAAAAATGAAATTTCTGAAATTATGGGATTTGTCAGGATATTCTGAAAGAACAATGCCCAAGAGGCCTACTTACCAAAAATGAGCATTTCGGAGATATTAGCCGGTTATACTCAAAAGACTCCATACAAACCATTCTGATTTTTTTTTGGGTCGACCGAAAAAAATTTGGAAGGGTTTGTATGGAGTTTTCTAAGCATAACTGGGCTACGATCTCAGAGACAATTTGCCCCAAGATGCTCATTTTTGGCAAGTAGGCCTCATGGACATTGTTCTTCACAATATCCTGGCGAATCCCATAATTTCAGAAATTTCATTTTTATGACGTCACACTTTAGTACTGTATTGGTCCGGCTTCAACGAGTCCAACACGCTCATGATGAGCTTACGTCCTACATGTTTTAATTCCTTAGGTTAGTTTGTTCAATTTTACACTTCTGATCCCTTGAGAGTTAAAACGATTGTTAAGTTAATTGTGGTAACTTTTTAAATCTCTTATGTGTCATTTAAGGCCCTAGTCTATGTCGTCATGACTATATGGAAGACTGCTCGCAACAAATAGGCCAGCTTTAGTTCTGTGGCCGCCAAGTACATCAGATGGACGGCGCAGGTCATGCGGAACGAGATGATGATGATGATGAAGACGAAGATTAAACGGGAAATTATTCAGACCGGACTTTTTAACATCTACTAATATATAGATTTAGCCAGGGCTAAAAGCGAAGCTCTGGTTAACAATACCTGCAAACAAAAAAAATTAAATCGTGTAATGCTAAAAGGGGAGGGCAATGAAAATGGCATCAAGAACAATAGAGCGTTTGCACTCACGTGGCCAGCATCTATGCTAATTTATTGGAACAACAGAAAGCATTTACATGACAAAGACTTCAACTCCCAGAGGATTTTCTGGTTACACCAACATGGCCGCCGTTTCATTGTTTTGGAAGACCAATATGACCGCCGTGACGTCATGTGAAAACGCTCTATAGATCTAATTAGCAAAAAAACAAATTACACGTGCAGCACACTTTTCTTCTAATTAGCCAAAAAAAAAAAACAAATTTGCACGTGCAGTACACTTTTTGTCTTTCTTTGCCGTTGTTTTGCACAACTACAACGCTGTTTTGTAGGACTAAAACGTCAAACTTCCTAGTTACACATTATTTTTGTGGAGGAATTGTCGTATGTGCTTACCCAATATTTTGTCTCCTGTGTTCATGTTCGCTTTTATTTTTCACTGCCGCGCATTTTTACCTTGCTGCCCGCTAGCATTTCTCATTGTCTCACAGCCGCTTTGAATTTTCATGTTTTTCTTCCTACAAAATTCGTCTCTTTTGTTTTCAATCACTCGCTCTAGCTCTTTCTCTGTTATCCATGTGAGTGTAAATATCAAAAATAAAAGAAAAAGACACGACTTTGTTGTTGTTTTTTCTTTCTAAAAGTCGGCTATGCGATTTCTTTCTAAATAAAACCTTGAGTTGCATTTGGGTTGCCATACCTGTTGATTGAATTATTTTACATCGGTATGCCTGTGGTGCGGACGGACAGTCGGGCGGGCGGGCGGTCGGTGTACGGTCACGTGATTACCAAATTTTCTCGGATGGGTAGTTTACCACATTTTTTTACCCATGGTGCTCCGCTGCGCGCACTTCGCGCGCGAGAGCTCCGCTATCATTATCAAATGACGGGGTTTCTGAGGCCCCCTTCAAAAGTAAAATTTCAATAAAACAATTAAGAACAAATGGTAAAATTGAATATGTGATAAAAGGATGATCAGAAAGCACAACATACTACAAGTTAACTGCTAAAAACAGCATATATCATTTGGTCAATTTAAATTCATGTTTTTTTTTATTTAATTTGTGAAAGGCCTGAATTACTTTAACAACTATCGCTAATTTCATAAAATATAACTATATGTTATAATTAATCAAAAATGATGCTAAATATTGCTGAGTGTCATAACGTAATTCAATACGCAAACCAGAAACAAACGCTATTTTTATATTAATGAGGTGGCTTTGATACCATCGTCGAATATATCCTTGTTAAACCTCGTCAATGTCAGGGAAAAGCGCCCCAGGGACGAAGTTGATCCCTGCAGTTATTTTAGATAAGCGTGAAGTATGTATTAGTTAATATGATATAGGCTCCCAGTAATGTGCAGTCCATAAACGTATATTCCCCTTCCGTTTAACATTTTGCCTGGTTTTCACTGACAACCTCTCTTAAAGTCATATTTTAACGATACAAACAAGAGCTTCAGATCGAAACCCACTATAAACCGTGAGAGTGAGGTTCGTGATACACCAGTCGCTAGCAACCACGGTGGTACTAATAGTCCCACTCAGTAAATCGATACCGTCGCCTGATGTAGACCTTCCAGCATGCGATAGAATCATCGCGATCAATAACAAAGTTACTATGAGTATCGCGGGACAAAAGATAAGCTATTTCCTTACTTCATTCTATTTTATTCTACTCTATTCTATCTCTTAATCTACTTTTTAATTATTCAAACAAACAATAAACGATGAAAATATACCCTTAAAGAAATCAGAAGTTAGCGAAAAGTGGCCTGTTCAACTTTCTAGGTGTGTGAAGGACGTTTGCCTTAAGGCGTAGATGAATGACGCAACATCGATATCTGGAACACCGGACACAATGACCATCAATCTCCATTTATTCCGCGTGCTTTATTCATATAACACATGAAGCACATACATCCAACTTAATATTTCGTTTAATAGATCTGCCGTGAGTAACTGATTAAAATATTTCAACGAAATTTACACGGTTAATTTCTTCCCTAGGCAAAATATAGCCTTAGCTTAATTTTCAGTTTCTTTTACTGCACAAATATATACCCAAAGGCCTTTATGTTTTGGCTGGAAGCGTGGTTTCCACATGTGTTGGAGTCGTCGTTTTTTCCGCCAGTACCAAACCCAACCCTGGAGTTACATGAAGTACAGTCGTCTTCATTGTTACCAAGAATACCGATTCTTGCTTTGGAGCGGTCTGCGTAGGTGCACTCGGTGTTGAACCCTTCCTTGTTACAGTTGTCATTGAAGGAGGCGCCAGAGGCAATCAGTGAAAACCACGTGTTACGACCCAGTGAAGTAGGACGGTATTGTCCATCAGCGATAAGTGAATACAAGGAACTGGCGCTCTCGGTGATTTGAATAAAATTGACCTGGTTGTTGATCTTCATACCGAGGCAAATTTTGGAGAAGGATGTGTTCCAGTAGGAGGAAAGTTTTGTCTCCTGAGAGTCAAACCCAGTCCTTCCTCCATTAACGTTAAAGGTGTCTTTGTCTTGCCAAAGCGTGGAAGTGTAGTGGAACGTTGGCTGTAGGAGGAATGTTAGTTAGACCCGTGTCAAACGTCGAACTTAATTGTGCCCAATGGCCCCAATCTAATGCAAATGAGTGAAAATGAGCGAAAACAATAGATTTTGCTCAGTCTTTTCTCCATAAGCATCATTTGGCACATATGAAGTCTAATGTAAGAAAAGGGCCTTGTTGACTTAAGTAAAGAAAATCAACGCCATATTATTTTTTGATATCAAAAAGAAATTATATTAAAATATAGCTCCTCAAAAGGAGTCGAAATCTAAGTAGTCAATCTTATTAATAACCTTTAACCGTATCTCTCAGAATGGTCTTGAGGAATTCCCACTCCTCAATCCCAGCTTACCGTCCTTTGAGTAGTCATTCACAAGAATGGCGGAAAGTTAACAAAAGAAAGGGCTGAAATACGAAAAGCTCCGTGCAAGAATTTCACTATTTCTTGAAATTAAAATGAACAAAATACACTAAAAGGACCGACTAAGGGTGTAAAAAATAAAAAAGATTAATAATGTGATCATTTCAACGCATTTCATTGCCATGAGCCTGACGGTATTTATTGAATAAACTCTGTGCCTCAAGAAAAAGGACACTCAAATTATCGAATATTCTAGATAATTATATTCATTTAATGTTTAAGAAGCTATAGGCGCTGTCAGCCGCTTGTTTCCAGTGTAAAAATTTCAATTTATACTGTTTCATCAAGTAATTAAGGCTAATATATCGTGAAGAAACTAAAAGTGACTTTACCTGGTTACCATCCATTTTTATAACCAGCGTCCATCCACCATTACTGCATGCGCCATTACCAGTCGTACCCATGGTCATATGACAGTAGACGTTGATCACCTCATCCTCCAAAACCAGTGGGTATGCTTTGTCCTCACTAGAACTTGAAAGTAGAAATTACAAGACCTTTGTCTAAATGTTTGGTTCACTTGAGGCGATACTACCTGGTCCATTACAAAGATCGGCGGAAGATTTGGGGAAATGACAGTAGACAGTAGAGAATTAAATTACACGATATAATTTAACATTAAATCTTAACTTTTGAATTTCTGGATGTGCCGTTACCTTTGTAAATGTATAAACTTAATATTTAATTCCCGAATGCATGCCTTCCCAGTTCTCGTGGAGGAGTCAGACACTTAAGAAAGACTAGAGAAATTGCATGGGCACCGTGGCGTTTTTTACCACGTGCCGTGACTAATCAGGTCCAAAGCTAGGGACCATTTTGAATCCTTAGGTGATTTCCAGAGGTCAAAATTGGCCGTCTGGACGGTCGGGTAATTTTGAAAATAAGATATTAGCATTTTCTCGAAATTTTCGGTGAGGAGCATATTATTATTATTATTATTGTCTCTATTATCACAGTCTTTGCTGGTGTTCTTTTTGTGCATCAGCCGGGCGCAAACCATGCACCTAGAGCGTCAGTCACTCAAGTCAATCATTCTGTTCATACACTGAGCACCTTTCTTCTTCTTCTTCTTCTTCTTCTTATTATTATTATTATTATTATTATTATTATTTTACAACTGGATTGGTCTGGCGGGCCACCGCATGTCACCGCATGTCGTATGTTTTAATTTGTCTTAGCCTCTTTTTAGTTGTAGTTTGGCGTTCCCCTTTGGCATATCTATCAAACTCTGACAGCTTCAACATTTTAATGCAAAAACTACGAATAATGTTTGGCAACTCACATGTTTTTGTCAAAAATGTCCTTGCACGTCGAAACTACGCCAAAAGAAAATTAAACAAAAAAATTAACTGGTATTAAACATGGTTATTTAATTTACAAAAGTTTAATTACTACAATATGGGAAGTAAGGTGACGGCTTTAAAAAGACATTTCAGATCGTTCATTTTCTTATTGCCCTAAATTTTTACGGGAAATTATTGTTCATATTTTAATGGAAAGAATCATTAGCATTGATAACAGCTAGAAAAGCTTGTCGTGAGTTATTTAGAATATGTGTACAGACGATTAAAATAAGGCAAATTACAGGAGCAACAATTATAAACTTTTATAAGTAACAACATCAGTAATTTATAGTCCGTCCCGAAAGTAAGTCCAAAGAAAAGATTTTACGGTTTATTTAAGGGTAAAAATGGATCAATATCTCCCTACAACTCATGAAAATGCTTTAGACTCACTCGGTTCACAGTTTTCTACATCTCCATAGTATCCCGGATTACAAGTGCAGATGTAAGATCCTTCGTTATTTGTGCAGAACGTATTGGCACGGCACTTGTTTGTTCCAGTGGCGCACTCGTCTACATCTAGAAAATTATAAAAATTAAAAATTACTACACGTAGTTAAAATAAAATAAAGACAGGAGTAATAAAAATAATGTAGTTAAGAAAACAATCGACATTTCGCGACGCCACCACTTTTTCCCCGGAAATGACGTCTGAGCAGCGAGCGCAGAAATTCCATACTGATGACGTGTCACTAACCAGATCTGGGTAGTGCTTCTGATTGGACCTAGTTGAAAATCTATTCAACCAATTAGAAGTACTACCCAGATCTGGCAGAGAGAGCATTTATGTTATAGCCTGCAAGTACGCGCTCGGGGGAACCCTTTGGTCGGTATGAGCGCCACAATCTTTTGATTGGGTGCGGCGTTTATTCGAGGACGATAATGAATTAAGCGCTGCCATACTTTTGCGTCTACTCTTGCAAATCTTGACGATGCTATTAAAATTATCGATTCGACATAATTGTATAATTGGTTGAATACAGATTGTACATTGTTACTCAAGAATAGAAACTCACCAATGTCGCAGTATTCTCCTTTGAAACCAGCAGTACACAAACAGCGGTATCCTTTGGCTGTAAAACCGGTTTGACAGGTTGCTTGGTTTTTACAAAGATTACTCACACATGCGTTCTAGGGCAGAAAAAATGAGGCGATCAGAACTAAATACTTTCTTCTGAAAAAATAGCTGCGTTCTTCATTCCTAGCGGTTTTATTGATAATCATAGATCCCTTACATGTACTTTAACAACTATTAATAGGTGAACAAACTGATTTCCAGGTTTGGAGTGTTGAAACTTTTCTCATAGTTTAAACATTAAGGTTGAGTTCGATTGGGAAATACGGATTTCGGATTTTGCAATCGAACACGAAATCCGTAAACGGATTTCACCTCCGAGAAATCCGTCCCTAGGGTGGATGTCAATTTTGAGAAATCCAAATCCGGATTTCCTGGATTTCCTTTTTACCGTTCGAAAGGGAAATCCGAAAAAGGATTTGCAAAACTGCTCTCGTGAACAACGGTCTTCTTTTTGCTAATTGTGCGTGCACGTGCAAGACCGCTGTTCTTAAGGACAGTTTTTCAAATCCTTTTTCGGATTTCCCAATCAAACGGTAATAATGAAAATCCAAAAACAGACATCTCAGCGTTGAAATCCATTTCGGATTTCACGTTCGATTGAAAATCCGAAATCCGGATTTTAAAATCTAAATCCAGATTTCCCAATCGAACGAACCCTAAATGAGTCTAATTAAGAAGTGTAAAATGGTATCTGGTACAGAGCATTAAAAGCTGCTATGGGGTCGGTTATAACGAAATCCTTGCAACTAAGACCGCGGTTTAGGAAATTTTGAACCTCCACATCTCTTTCTTTGTGGGCTATTTTGAGAGGATAACTGCGTTTCTAGTCAACGCTTTGTGCTTGCACGAAACTTTTCACGACCATAAATGGTGTTTACATAAAAGCGTTCGGCAAACTGGAGGTGGCTTAGAACAGTAGAACACTGGCTAAACTCCGTTCAAATAACTGGCCCATAATGTTCACTGTTCCAAATTTTAGCCCCGATGCTAGCTAAAGAAGTTTTTGTGAGGATTTAGTTGAGAGTGTTTCCTATGAAAATTACTAGCTGAAGAGAATCGGGTGTTGTATTTGGGAACTTTTCTTGGGAGCATCAACATGTCATTGATGCTAGGCGGCGCAGAATCACTAGAGACATCATACATATAAAATACTTTAGATATTAGCAACATATAAGACGGAGGCCCTCATATAATGTATAGATTTAGCCAGGGCTAAAAGCGGAGCCTCCTTTTATAATAACAAAAGCAATTAACTTTAAACTAGTAAACTCTAAGGCATTAAAATGAAATCTTCAAATCCTTACTTAAAGGGAACCTCCACTTCAACAAAAAGATAACTTTAAGTCACAGGAAATAACTGTTACAGTCAAGTCAATCTAAAATATTTTTAAAGAAAGCGTTTGTATCCGAAAGAAATAACTTTTAGATTCGCCTATTTTTGTTTTCAAATTTTGCGGGCGTCGCCATCTTGAATAATTGTGACGTGTTACGGTTGCCCTATTGTTATTAAGCAAAAGCTCTTTGTGTCAGAACAATAGAGCAACCATAACACGCCACAATTATTCAAGATGGCGGCGCCCGCGAAATTTGAAAGTGAAAATAAGCAATTTTAAAATTCACTTTTCCTGATATAAACACTTTTTTTAAGGACAGATTTCGAACAAATTTGTTATCAACATAATTTTATTCGATTTAAACTTATTCTGTAGTAAGAGTGGAGGTTCCCTTTAACTTTAAGGGCCTTCAGCATCAGTTTACCTTATAAAGAAAAATAGGGACCTTAAGCAAGGAACGGCGACGACAGCGAGAACGGCAAAAAATCAATAGGTTTGATTAGCAAAGCAACAACTTTGCACGAGCGTGCACTGCACGACTACGACGCAAAGGTACCTTAAAATTTCACGTTTTGTGAAGGACGCGGACACAAGATAACAACTTTTTCTTTTCTTTTCCTGAATTCGAACTTCAATAAAGTCTTCTGGAATTCACCAGAAAATTTTGCCAATATTTGTCCAATTAAAAGAGAAGGAATAAGCGCCATCGCTGTCGTTTCTCCGTACTATAAGCTTCCTATTATCCTGCAAACACGTCGACCTGAAATAAAAAAAACTCAGCAAGCTTAAAGTCGAGTGTTTACAAGAAAAAATCACTATGCATTTTTTTTCTATAGTTCGATCACAGTGGTAGAAAAAATCTTCCAAACTACAGCTTTTCATTTCTAAAGCCATTTGGAAGCAATAGGCAGTTACAAAAAAAACTCTCTAGGGGAGGAGGAGTGGAAATAGTGTCTACTTAGTCTGTCTCTGTCAGTCTGTAAGGACGGGCGTCGGAGGGTAAACGCTGACGGCATAACCAAATTTTCTCGCATAGATACGTTTCCAGTTTTTATAGCAATGGAGGCTCCGCTATCAACAAATTATTTTTTATTACCAATATTCTTTTGATTCATACGTGTTTAGAAACAGGGATATAGTGTAATTCCTACAATGGCCGCCATGGCCGCGGTGCGAAAATTGGTCGTCAATTTCCCTGCCGTACTTAACTTGGTCTATTTTGATTGTAATTCATAAAGTCTTTCACTTACGATAGCTCCTCGGTAAAGGTAATCATAATTTGTCTCCAGCTTATCCTGTTGTTCTTCAAAGGTAGAGTTATTCAGCTCACATTTGCTCATAGACTTCTGAAAGTTAAAACTAACACAGTTTGGTTCCCAGAAGCAACTTATGTCACAGATATCCTTGTCAACAGCGACAACCCTGCGAATTACATGATTTCTTAGCCGTTTTCCGTCCAAAGTTTGGTCTGCTTTCCATTCCATCTGACGACATGAGTCTGAGAAAGAGAAGGTCCGTCAGTACTGGAAATCGTTGGTGATGCAAACGTGTGGAGCCCAAATAATCCCATGAGCTCTAACTAAGTAAAATATCGTAATACAATATATGCTGGCCTGATAGATACCATACTTGAGAAATTTGTAAATCTCGGTGTGCTCTTTTTGACTATGTGGGTCTCGTGTTGATTATCCCATAATACACCGACTTGTACCCATCCCTCCTCGGTTTTCAATCAGGCAATGGGGAAATTTCAGTCGCAATTGCTCTCATGCCTGACTGTTACAGAATAGATTTACAGGATAATCACACTGAGGAACTGCATTGAAAATAAACTCGATCAGATTCTTCGCAGTTCAAACTCAGTAGCAGTCTTCTGAGTTATTCTGAAGAAGTCATTCTGTTAAAATTTCTGCACAGCGCCACACATCATTATCAGTATATTCGATTCCGAAGCATTTTGCCTCTTTTTTCTCCGTCTTCAATTTGTCCCCTTTCCTCTTCAAGTGAACTTCAGGTCAAAATGAACTAAAAGTTTAAAGTAACTGCTAATCAATAATACATGCGCAATCCTACAATGACTTCAGCATGCAGCCCGGTGTCCTGCTTACAACAACTTCTGTTTGCATACTCCCACGCAAACTCCCGTCGGCCAATCGTAGCGCGCGTAGCTAATTAAAGAAACAAACAGTTTTTGCCGAAAAAAATTATCTTAGCGCCGAGAAATACTACTGCTAATAAAGTACGTAGTGACGTCATTACGTTGCTGCGACAACTTCGATGTCAGTATATTTAACACTAATCATTTTTATCTTGCCCTGCCTTTTCCCGGACATGTTTGTAAATTGCGTCGTAGTTGATGCTCAGTGGAAAGTATGTGGCTCCTGCAATGATGTGTGTTTTCGATAAAGTGCAGTCACCAATAGGCAAATCTTTGTTTACGTTTTGTTTGCCTCATTAGAGAATGCATTTCATTCTCTGCCAATCAAGCTATTTAAAAATAAACTCTCTAATTATCTAAAGAGAAAAAATTTAGTTATATGGAAAAATTTGAAGCTGATAAACCAAGTAGTTTCTGAAAAATTATCCTAATTTTTTGCAAAGAATATGTATTGGTTCATTATCGTTTTTGCCACCCAGCAATTTCGCAGTTCACAGTTTTCAGCCAATTGCTGCTATTTCCTTTGTTAATGCTTACAAAAGGCTGAAAACTCCACAAATTTATCAAATTAACTACCTCTTTCAACTTTGACGCCTCCTATGGGTTAAATCGTATGCTAATGAGCAAAAATGTAAACATTGACGTCAGGAAAGATTCGCCTTAAAAAAATTCATGCGTAACGAATGAACCAATAAATAAATAAATAATTCTGAGATAAACGTAGATATCAATTCAATGCAGTATTATACATTAGACTTTTTTTCTGAGATAAAATGTTTGGTAGAAAATGACCTTGTTTCTTTTCCTGGAGATAATACAAATGCAAATTAAAGCTACACATTTACTGAGTTCAGAGCTCTCGCCTTCCCAGGTGCTACATGTATATTTAAAATCGCCAATTCACCCGGCGGGTATCAAGTCATGTTTTGAAAGTGGACTTAACAGATCAGTAAAAATTTCTTACATGCAAACGGTTAACGCCATAAGAAAAAAAAAAAAAAAACATTGGCCCCCCTTTTTTGTTACTAATAAATAATAATGCATGTGTAAAAAATCTGTCACTCAGAGGAAAAGTGTTTGGTAAGAAAATTAACAAGTTTCTTTCCTTGAAAATAAGGGCAAAACTAGTATTTCGCCCATTTACTAAGTTAAAAGAAGTTTTCGTCTATTTCAAAAATAACAGCTTTCGATCAAGGTGAAGCCTCAAGAAAACATTAGGTTATGTGATGAGTTTATATGGCAGCCGAAATTATTAGGGGTTGCTGTTTGACTCCGAAACCCTTTAGAGTGCTGTCGATTTTTTGTAAGACAGCGCAGCATCAGTGGCACACAGCGACATTTTTTCTGTAAAATAACTGTTCGAAGGAACAAATATTGCCTAGAAAATTCTAAAGCTTGAAAAAAAGCTAAAACTTTCTTTATAACCGTTCCGTTCGTCTAAAATATTCGGAGGTTTAATTTCGAATACTAAATAGCTTACTACGATTTTCGGAAGTTGTGTTTAATTACCATGAAACTACCGTCCACGATAATACGATTATTGTTAAAAAAAAGGTCTCCTAAACCTTTCGGTATAAAGACAAAACGTCCCCTCAAATTTTCTAATGAAAGAAAGGCTACTTCATGTCCTCGAACTTTCAACCGGACCCAGGGGTAACTAACACTGTCAGATGAGACGAAAAAAACACCTAAAACTTTCGTGACCTCCAAAGCCCCTTCAAACAGATAAATACTTTTTAAGGCAACTCCAAATTAACAAAAAGGCTTCTAAAGCATAGAGAAAACCATCTGAGACACTTTGGCGTATTTGGAAACATTTGGTCGTTGCCGGGTGCCCCTCGCAGCACGTCAGACGTGCTGTAGCGCATTCACCTCGATGACCGTCAGACCGTCAGTTTTCTTATCGCCGAGTTGTTTTCTTCGGGTTGGTTACATGGAGTCAATTACAAAGTTCTTAGAGCTACAAGCAGAAAACGATGTGAAAGACTTACGTTTTAAATTCACCTATTCTTCACTGGTTTTAATCTATTGATCCAGATGCAAAAAATGTGTTGTTGTTGTAAATTCAACCAGCGGCTATAAGTTCATGTTATAATACTGATAATAAGGCCTTTTAGACAACTTTCCTCAACATCAGCTTAAAACGCTAGCCACCTTTTTGGTTGCCACTTTGTTACTGCGGTTATAACACACTTATTGGATATTAAACTTACCTTCATTTGAGTCGTTCCCATGAATCTGCGAGAGCAATCGCATCAAAATCCACAACACTATAAAATCCATAATAGGGTTTCTTTCAGGATGTCTTTCTGATACTTTTCAATCGTCTTTTAAGGGCTTTTTCGATGTTTCATTGGTTGTCGAAATACATCTCGTTAATATTCAGAAGGACAAACAAAATTTTGCTTCTAAGTACTTGTGTCGTCATGCTGTCGAGGTCGTGCAATAACTACAACACAACTCTCTTCACTCAATTTATGATTATACCTATTTCACACCGTGATACTAATTAATCAGACTCACTTATTCCGAGGTGTTTTTGATCGAGAGCCAATCCCTCTCCAACAGTGTGCTTAGTATTTACTTTTTCATGCCAAACAAGACGTCAGTTAAACTGGCTACTTATAAATGTTTTGGTAAAAATGCCTTAGGGCTGTTTTAAATGATTAACCACAGAACTTTCTCAATATGTGCAGAAAAAAACCTACGTAGAATTTGTGTTAGGCTTTTGCGATGGTTACTGAACTTAATGTAAATATATGACTTCTCATATGAAATGACTCATATTTTGAACCGCGGATGAAATATGAAGGTGGAAATGATCGTGCAGTTGAATAAACAGCTTTAAGCGGTTGAAAAAGGGCCTGTTTGTCTCGTTCTGTGAGCGTTCTGACTGAGACTGAATGAAATACACGAGGTGCGAACGTTTGCTCCTCGTAAAAGCTTTTTTTTGTTTTTGTTGTTGTTTTTTCGTCACTTGAAAATTACGTTGGATTCAGAACAACCAATGTTAGAGTAAAAACAGATCATTCCGTCATTGTGAGGAGGAATAAAACGTTTTGAACATTTCAAAAGAGGTTTGTATATTTTCTTTAGTTCACTTAAGCTGAATTTTGTGCATGATGGAATTGTTCTTTGCTTGTCGCCTCTCTTTGCGAGCTCAAAGTGGCTTCTATGGTCCTTATAGTGACCTCAGTCGGTAATTAAATCATATACATAACTGGAGAGAATTTTTTCCAATAATGCAACTTCAATTTTGTTTGAAGGAAATCTTACTTGGTTTTTGAGAAGTGTTATGCATGTTTAACTTGACAACACAAAGCAAACTTTATCTGCGCGAAACGATCAAGTTAAAAAAACTGTAGTTGCTTTGAAACCGATTTTGGGGAAGATTTTACTCGATAAAGATTAACTGTTTTTCTGCCAACATATCAACGCCAAAACTTCTACATTGAGGATTTTGTTTATAAATTTAGTCTTCTGCGAAGCAGAGGCGTCCGATCGAGCGTGGGTTTTAAAATATCAGCTCAAGTGCGACAAAGTTCAATGACTTCAAACACATTGTGGGCAAGCGTGAATTTCTTTGGGCAAATCACTATACAAAGATATTTTGTGTCCACAGTGGAGCTCCGGACCTTATATATCCAGAAACTTCCTTTGATGAACACATTTTGTGAATACATCTCGAAAAAAATCGGACCTACGCACGCACATTTCCAGTACAGCGCAAGGAAATTAATGCCGTCGTTAAAGTCCGTTTTACTATGATGTATTCTTCGAGAAAATTAAACAATAAGGTTATAACCACAGCTTGCAACTTTTGAAGACAAATTGCTTGTTCTTTCTAGGTTTGTGGCGGCACAAACCACCACAATTTCTGCTCCAAGTCGACTCGAAAAACACTGTTTTGAATTTCCCACTTTTTTTCACCAGACCAACATTGACGTCACAAGCTGTTTTTACCGACAATTTTTCCGACCGCTCTACGAAGATAAGGGCCAAAAAATAACAATTTTTAAATGCGAATATCTCGGAGATGCTTGCTTTAATTGAGCTGAAACTTCATAGTATGTTTATTCGGTTCATATTAAACATATTTCACTAGAATTGAACTCAAATAAAAAATGTCGAATTTTTGGTTCATTTGACCTTTAAGTCAATATTTATTTTCAGGTGAATGTTATACTTAGCAACGTTTCGCGTAACTATTTTCCGCAACGATGCAAAAGCTTAACGCGTCTCCTCGGAAGAAAATTTGCTCAATGTAACCTGCCGTACGGACACAGGGGGAGGGGGTGGAATGTTTCTGAATGGGAGTTGAAGGGAGCACCAGAAATGAACCTTTTTTTTTAAGCTAGGCGAAAAATTAACCAGTTAAGATGCAATCAATGGAGTTGCTCCGATAAAATACTTGAAGTTTAGTGAGTGTGTTTGACACACGAAAGAAAAAACTTTCAAAAAAATATATCTTGAAGGCTTTGTCACCGAAAAATGAATTATCTAGTCTCCGTTTAGTTAAAATTTTGACAAGTGAATTCAAGGGCAAAATCTTATGCAGCATCCACAAAATTTTTGTTTAACCGACTACTAAATGAGAAGGTTTTTTTCAACTTTTCGGTTACTTTTGCTACCACAAAATGAAATACAGCTGCAATCAAGATTTTCCTGTTATTTAAATAGCTGGTTTGTTTATTGGTTTTTGGCTGATGTATGGCTTTGTTTTTGAGAGTTTATGCCGGCATGCTTTTACAGAAAAGCACTGGTAAAACTTTCAGGAGCTGCATGATGTCAGGTAAGTTTTTATTAATATATATTGCCTTCTATGGTTTGATTTGACTAATGGTTGTGCAATCGGGCGTAATTACTTTAAGCTTAACGACGACACAATATTCGAGTCTTAAGACGATTGCAGACGATGTATGGCCTCGAGTGATCAGGTTTCAGATACAAAGGTTGTAAATATTTTCCTCAGGTTGCAAATGGATAGAACAAGTTCTAAAGAATACCTGGCAGTAGTATTAGTAGCAAAAAGAACTTAGGCCGCATAGGTCGCCTAACATAAAACCTACTCGTAGGTCTGTTATGAACTTTAATTAATTTCTTGCCAATGGCAAGATATAGCGCTGGCGTTAAGTAATTAAAAGCATGATCGTTAGCACATTATTAAAAAAAAGCTTAATTGTTTTTTTCTTTTTTTCAGCAGTTTACAGCACAAACAGTGTAGCAAATATCCTTCATACTTTGGTCCGAAGCGTTCTTCTAGTTTTTACATGTGTTAAAATCGTCGAATTGCCCGCCAGTACCATACACGACCCGAGATTTACCTGAAGTGCAGCCATTTTCATTGTTACCTATAATACCGAAGATAAGCGAGCATACTGAAAATTATAATTTTCAGTTTCTTTTACTGCACAAAGATACCCAAAGGCCTTTATGTTTTGGCTGGAAGCGTGGTTTCCACTGGGTGTTATAGTCGTCGTATTCTCTGAAGTCTGGCTAATATATATTTAGCTTAGCCTCGTGAACGCAGATGTATTTTCGTGGGGAGAGAAGCGACGACCGGAAATATGTCTGCGTTTACAGGATATATTGAGCTTTTTCATGTAGACTCCATTTTTTCTAGTTTTTATAGTCGTGATGAAACATGTACAAAAGACCCAGTGCCGCACCTGCTAAATTTTGCAATTATGAATGTTTACCATAAAAATGATGGCCAATCTATACATCTTTGTGTTTCAAAAGTCAAGAAAACTGGTGTGAATATAGCTCTCGATTTATCAGTGAAATATTATATAAACTCTTTTATAGGAATAAAAAGTTTGGTTGAAAAAAACAACAACGACGAAGACGACAACAAGAACAACACCGACATTTTTCTTTCAAGCCACAAAATTAATCAAAGCAAAATTACTTCTGCATTTAATACGTTAAACCACGTAGCTGTCGAACAGATGCAAAATTTATTGTTTAAATTCACCCGAGCCAGGGACATCCAACACCATTTTTTATCTCAAAATACTCCAAAATGTTGTTTTAATAGTAATGTAAACGAATATAAAATTGCAGCCCCAATAATCTTTATTGCACTAATGCCGGAATGAACTATCCTTCGCTGTTTGAATCATGCCCCTGTATCCACGAGATGAACCCCCCAGTGAAATCCACAATTAACCATTATTAAACTATTAGCTCCATTATGATAAAAGGATGTCAAGAAAATCGTTTGAAAGAAGACTTCTCCTTGACAATGTCCAGCCCTGAAAACTTTTTTTTTTCGCGAGGGCTGTAAGTTGGAGAAACGTTTTGGTGATTTGTTAATGTTAAAACTTTTTCTGACCTTACAACTAAGGGATAGTATACTAAACATAGAATTACCAAATATATCAACACTGATTAATGATAAGCCACGCAGGATCGAGTTTATTAATTGTCTTTAATAAGTAATAGGATAAACAAATATTGGTTGTTGAGTATTTGCATCGTTATGCATTGTGCAATTCAACTAGCTAAACAGTGCTGTTGACTTGAGCTAATGAGTCCTAATTCGATTTTCATACTCATGATATTAATATAAGGATTCTATGATGATTTTTACAGCCTGATTATTATTATTATTATTTTTATTATTTTTGTTTGTTTACAAAAAGCAACACGTCATTAAGCTGTGTGTCAAAAAAATCTTAAAAGGTTCGGCCTAAACTCCATACATGTAATATACACCTTGGTGCTGATTAAATTGTTAAACGTACTTTACAAGGTCTCAATATCGATCATTATAATTATATTCCTAGACGTTCACTCAACTAAACAGGGACTGTCATTGGTTGATCGTGATTCTTATCCCGATCTTGATACATTAAGCAATGTACCCCGCTCGGGCTAATTTACAGCACGTGATCAAAGCATGGTGGAAAGTGGTGTGACAGAAGGCGGGAAAAACACTGCCAGTTTTCTTTTTCGTGAATGAACACAACAAAATCATTCATTCAGTGGTTTTAAAAAAGATGCAGATAATATACGAATTAAATTTCATTCAGTTGTTTAAGAATTAAATTTGTGTTGTTATAAGTACTGAGTCGACTGTTTTGGTTCGCTCCGGTTATTCTGTTTTTGCTGTTGAAGTGAAAGTCTAAAAATATAACAAAACACTTAATGACAGGTCCCTCGGGAAACCAGGACTTCGTCTCGGTAAACACCAGGACTCGTGGGAAAACAAAACTAACTGTTTCCCTCGGGATATGACATTACGTGTATATAAATATCAATGTCCTGTGAGGACACCTATTGCGATCGTTTTTTCTTCTAAGAAAGTGACAATGAACACTTCCATCCACAATTTTTAACTATCGTCTTTAAGATTGAAAGTTCTTTATTTTCTTATGTCTAGTCAATAAACTTGACTGCGAGTTTTCGTATTGGCATATTTTGTCAGTTGTTTACTGACCCCTGAGAAATCACGTGACATTGCTTCGTCTACGTGACAGCTTGTATCAACATGCCCTTTTCAGAGTTTTAAAACCGTTATTTAAGATAAGATTAAAATGATTTTACATTCAAGCTGAATTGATAAGGAAAAATACTTCTTTAGCGAAATATTCTTTTGAACAAAACTGAAGACTTTCGAAGAATGAAACCCACAAGGCATAGAGCGCACAGATTACAACACTCGAGAAGAGATCCGGGTTCAAGATTACCGGAACCTACATCTCTAAGACACGTGCTGACAACCCTGGAGTTATATGGTTACTACAGCGAACGTAGCCAACAAACCAGAGTCAAGCTCTATTGCTCGAACCGTTTACTGCAACGGCATGTTCATTTTTAGGGCGTGTTATACTATAGACAATGTTTATTTCTCATGCAACTTGCCTCTTAATGGCGCCACACATGTACAACCTTCGACGGTAAAGCGACTTCATTTAAAACGTCCAATTTTTCATGTACCGAATCTAATATAATGCATAAACTTACTATAATTTACCTTCACTGGAAGCATATATAACAGGCCATTTCCGAGTTCCAGAAACAATCCCTATCGAAACGAAGATAAATTCCTACCCTTTCTTGTGATGATAATGAGTTTGCATGAGAATGAAACGTCATTTTCAGGCCTCGCCCTTACCCTCCCTTTGAAACGCAGGCTTGGAGGAACTCGGAAAATATTTTGATTCATTAAGTTGGAATCAAGCTTAGGTCTGAATTAACCGTCAAACTTGTATCATGTTGTATTAAAAGTATTAATTTAAAGTATTAAAAGACTGAGAGTGGGAGGAAAAAAGGAAGAGAAGAGAAAAATTCAAAGGTTGCATTTCTTAGTTTTTTTAGTAATATTTGCTTCTTTAGAGAAATTTTGGCCGAGAAAATCTCTTTGAAGAGCAAGAGGACGAAAGGTTTTTAAACATCCCTCTAGATTATATAGAACCATGTTTTCACATATTATTATAGTTTCAGGCCAGTAGTACACCAACAGCTCAAAGCTGACGTATACCGATTAATTATTTGCCCAGCTACACAAATATATAGTCACTCTATAAGTAGTTCTCTTTCACTGTACCAAAATGTATCCCATGGCTTTAATATGCTGAGCCCCATTATCTCCGTCATTTATAGCGTCGTTTCCACATGTGTTAGAATCGTCATGATCTCCTCCAGTGCCGAAACCGATCCTGGAGTTACAGTAGTGGCAATTCTCGCCATCGCTACCAAGGATGCCGATTCTTGCTTTAGATCGTCCTATTTTGGTACACTCTGCATTGAACCCTTCCATGTTGCAGTTTAACTGTAAGGAGGCATTAGGACCAACCACGGACTTCCACGTGTCACGACCCAGTGAGGTGTAGCAGTATAGCCCATCAGCCATCAGTGAATACAGGGAATTGGCGTTCTTTGTGATTTCAATAAAATTGATCTGGTTGTTGATCTTCATGCCGAGGCAAATCTTAGAAAAGGATGTGTTCCAGTAGGAGGGAAGTTTTGTCTCCTTCGAGTCAAACCCAGTCTTTCCGCCGTCAATGTTAAAGGTGTCTTTGTTCTCCCAAAGTGTGGAATTGTAGTGAAAAGTTTGCTGTTGGAGGAATATTAGTAACAATCTTAAGCAAAGTAAATAAGCGTTCCTATTTTTTAATTAGAGCATTAAAATGTAATTTTTATAAATCATCAGCTAATAGACCTTATACACGATATCCATTATCTTTGCACCCGCTTAAGGACCTGGTGGGATATAGACGATGTTGCGTAATTTCTCAGGCGGCAAACGACTGATAAAATTTGCCAATGCCGAGAAACCGTCGTCGAGTTTGTTTATTCTTGTGCGTGCAGAGATGGCGAAGATAGATCTATTAAAAAGTGCCCTGATCTGTAAGTAGTCATTCTGTGAACGTGAGCCAGCTCTTCTCTGAGTGTTTCTGGGAATGGTCCTGGGGAGAGCATAGCTCCAATCATAGTAGAATTTTGCCGGAGTATACGTCTTAATTCAGACATGCATGCAATCTGATCTGATGTCATTTACAATTAATGGCAAATTAAAAAACGTGCATAATTTAATATATAGGTGAAGTACCAGAAGCTAGTCCCACGCGGATAAAGCCTTAATTCCTAAATTAAGTAACATTCGGCTAGGAAATTAAAAACGCCGACTGAATTGAGGGTTAAAACATACAAACCATTGAGGATTATGCCACGTCATTATTCGAGGCTTAACAACAAGTCTCCATGACAATACAATGGGCGGATTAAGGGGTTGGCGAAGCTCTAAATAAAAGAATACTTAGATTTATACTTGGAGATTACTCGTCTCCATACAACACTCTTCTCTCAAAAGTCAGCTCTACTTCTTTGTTTAACAAACGCATTCAAAATTTCCTCATTCTGTTATATAAAATTTGTTTTTCATCATTTTTCTACTTATATGAAGAATATTCCTCTTCTTATGATCTTCGTGAAGAACATTCTTTCACTAAGTAAACCTAAAACAACTACCTATGGTCTTAACTCCTTTCTTAACTAGTGGAATGCACTGCCGGACTTTTTTCTATAGTTTTTTTTTGCAGACTTTAAGACTAAAATACAGGATGTTACCTTCATGGATTCTTTTTGCCTGACATACCCTAAACTTAAAATTGTGAATTGAAATTTTTTCTTGAAATGTATATATATATTTTCGTATAGTTTTTTATGTAGTGTCACTCGAAGATATTATTTAGTTTAAATAAAGTTTTATGTTATGTTATGTTATTCCCCTCTTTTTTGGTAAAATTTTGTATTATTTTTGAAGAATTAGTCATCAACATAAACAGTATCTATATAGCTGGCAAACGTTCCGGTCACCCCTATCTGAATTTTCTGAATCCGTCACTGCTTATTGTTGGTTTTCACATGACGTCACTAAAATTCAAACTTAAAAAACTATCGATCCTACCGAGATTTTACTTTCACGATTCATCAGAGTAGCTGAAAACTAATTTTCATACAAATTTTCCCTTCAAAATGGGTTCTTGGTTTTTGTGACGCGGCATTTACATGATGGCCAAGAAAGCTGTCATGCCTGTAGGTTAAAAAAATGACTTATTTCAGGAAATTTTGCTATCTAAACAGTTCATGTATTAAAAAAAGTATGAATTTAATGTTTATGAGTTTCCCGAAGATTAAATTCAGGCTTTTGTAGCAAAACT